GGTCCCAGCAACTTGGGAGGCCGAGGCAGGAGACTCACTTGAGCCCAGGAGTTGGAGGTTGCTGTGAGCTGTGATGCCACCGCACTCTACCCAGGGGGTCAACTTGAGGCTCTGTCTCAAAAGAAAAAGAAATGTTAATAAAGATAAAATTTAATATATTTTCCCCTCTTTTATCCCCAGTGGTATGTGGGAGTTTATTTCATACACCGAAGTTTGTGAAGGTAAAATATTCTACCTTGTTTATCGTTATGATGTCATATTTGAGAATTTAATAATAGTATCATACCTTTGCTCTGCATTCTGCCTCACATTGGCATTTAGTAATGATAAATGAAAAAAGAGTGAATAAAAATAATTCTTAATTATCAGTATATTTTCTCTGAAATAAATTATTGTTTTTCTTTCTAGGGTCAGACACAAAAACATATTTCTGAAAGTCTGGGCGCTGAGGTGGATCCAGATATGTCTTGGTCAAGTTCTTTAGCCACACCACCTACCCTTAGTTCTACTGTGCTCATAGGTAATACTAACAAATATGTATTATATAAGAAAAGGTAAATGAGATTGATAGATTATAATCTCTAATGTTTCTGTTAAAAAGAAATATTTAAATAATATTGTGTGTTACCAATTCAGAATAATTTTATTCTATTTAGTATAGATGGAGATAAATTACAAATACATTAATTTGTGTCCTGTAGGTGTTAAGCATTATTATTTTATTTTACTGCTTCATCATTAATGTAGAATAGTTTTACAGATACTCAGTGACCTATACATATAAGCATTTAAGAGCTCGTATTTGATGTAACTGAATTTTTTACAAATCATATTGATACTTTGGGTATGAAAGCAGCATTAAATAAGCTGTTCTACTTGTCTGTATTGCTAGTAGTATTGAATTGATGTCTTAAATTATACACTTGAGTTACGTGCACTGTGGGATTAACTGGAATGCTTAATTTATCCATTGGACTATAAGCTCTCTGCAGGCTCACCGTAGTTTCTCTTATAACAATAAACATACAAATTTTAAAAAAAAGTCATTAATGTGATTAAATGCAGTGAGAACAAGTATTTGGAAGTTCATCAAATAAATGTCACAATTTATGGGCAAAATGTGAAAATTGGATAATAATGGAGAAAAAAGTAAATAATCACCAAGATTATTCTCTTTTTTTGAAGATACTGGGTTAGATCATGTTTCTCAAATTGCAGATCCATGACTCACTAATAGTTGTGAAATATATTTTGTGAGTCATATTGACTTTTTAAAAATATGATAAAAAGAATAGAAAAATTTCAATGTATTACATGTAGCTAGGGTTGCCAGATTTAGAAAGTGAAAATACAGTGCATCTAGTTAAATTTGAATTTTAGATAAACATAATTTTTAAGTTTGTTATTTCATAGGACATACTTAGACTCAGAATGAATTAATTGTTTATCTAAAATTCAAATTTAATAAGATGTCCCATATTTTTTCCAAAAATCCTACACATAGTTAAGTTTGTTTTGTGAAACTTTGTTACTTGTATGAATCTTTGGGTATAAGGAGTCAATGGGTTTATTAGTGTAGGTTTTACTCAAAGCTTGAGTTTAATTTTTTCCCAAGCCAGAATTTTGTTTTTATTCTAACAAAGTAAACCATTTTGATTCCTCTTTAGCTAGGAGTAATTTAACTTTCTTATTTTGTTGCTTTGATGAAATAATATGGTTAGAAAGCATTTTGAAAAGTAAAAAGTATTTAGTATATACTGTGCTTTTAAGCTGTATTAAGAAATGCCAGAAGTCTTTAACCTTTAGCTTTTAAATCATGACCTTACAACATGGTCTGATTTTTCGAAGTCATTATGGACAGTATTATTATAAAGTCGGAATTACTAATCCATAATTTCTTACCTCTTAGTAAGTTATTCACTATGTTAATTGACCTTTCTAATTATGGTACTTAGATCAATCCATTTTGTTTCAAATGTGTTGTTTAATCAAATAGTATTTGTGCTTTTTGATATTTCATTAAAAAGTAAGTTTTTGCTTTTATTTTAATTTACATTATAGTACAAGTAAATTAAACTTTCATTTTACAGTCAGAAGTGAAGATGCATCTGAAATTGTATTTCCTAATGATACTACTGCTGTAAGTAAATATGACAAATTGATAATACTATCTAATTGCTTATAATTTTGGAACTCCTTGATAAATTATTTGTTTTGCATTTTTTGTTCCCTAGTTTATAATTTAAGCTTTTGAGTCTCCAAATGTGATCCTACATATGATTTTTCCTTGACTTTCTATGATACTCTTCTGTCTTTCTGGGAATAAGTTTGCATTTATACAGTATTCCTTATATTCATGGAGGAATACATTGCAAGAACCTTAGTTAATGCTTGAAACCTCAGAAAGTACATGTTTTTTTTCTCGGCATACCTATGATGAAGTTTAATTTATGTATTAGGCACAGTAAGAACTTAACAATAACTAATAATAAAACAATTACAACAACATACTGTGTACTAAGTCATATGAATCTGTGCATGCTTACTTTCTCTCAGAATATCTCATTGTACTATACTCATGTGATGGTAACTACTTCATCAGCAAATGCAGCCTCTCTAGTAATTTTTATATTTTTTAGTTTAAATCTAATTTCTGAATCTCAATACTTATCACTTGCTTGCGGTAAATGGCTCAGTGTCACTTATTTCAGGAGATCCCTTGCTGAAGTCATTTGTTTAGGTTCAGTGCTTTCTGGTGCACATGTTGCTATCATTTAAAACACATTTTCTGTTTACACCTTCCACTCACAAATGTAATGCCTTTTTTATCTTAACACTTAGCTTACGATGTGTCTATAACTTTTGTGGTTTGAGTGCAACAGCAAAACTAGCATGAATTTATTTTTCCTTCTTCACAATTTCACAGATAGGAGATCTTTTCTTACCACAGATTTTAGCAACCTTAGCATATGATTTTTTTAATTAAGTTAAAAACTTTAACTTTTTTACTTAAAAGAAGCATTTTATGGCTTCTCTTTAGCATATTTGAATTGCCAGCATCATTAGTCTTGCACTTTGGGGCCATTACCAAGTAAAATAAGAGTGATTTGAACATAAGCCCTGTAGTACTGTGACAGTGGATCTGATAACAAAGATAACTGCTAAGTGACTAACAGGCAGTAGTGTGTATATACAGAGTGGATATGCTGGACAAAGGGTTGATTCATATCCCAGGTGGGACAAAGCAAGATGTTACAAGATTTTATCACACTGTTCATGATTTAAAACTTATGAATTATTTATTTGGGGAATTTGTGATTTAATATTTTTGGACCTAGATTGATCACAAGTAACTGAAACCTTGGGAAATAAAACTACAGATGAAGGGGGGATGACTATGTGTATGTTGAAAGTTTATATGCTAATGATTTTAAACTGTAACTTGTGCAGATTTTAAAAAGCTATTTTTCTAACCGTGATGAAAGTCTGAAGGAAAATGATAGATTAATCTCTTCTGTGACAGACCATGAAAACAAAAATGAAAGAGAAGCTAGAAGTTGTGGTAAGTCCTATTGAGTTAAACTACTTTTTTTAATTGACATCATTGAAAGATTGCTTCTCAGCTTGGCACCTGTGGCTCAAGTGGCTAAGGTGCCAGCCACACACCCTTAAGGTGGCGGATTCGAATCCAGCCCAGGCCGCCAAACAATGATGGCTGCAACCAAAAAATAGCCAGACGTCATGACAGGCACCTGTGGTCCCAGCTACTTGGGAGGCTGAGGCAGGAGACTCTCTTGAGCCCAGGAGTTGGAGGTTGCTGTGAACTGTGATGTCACAGCACTCTACCCAGGGGGACATCTTGAGGCTCTGTCTGAAAAAAAAGAAAGAAAGAAAGATTGCTTCTCTTCTCTTAGAGAGAAAACTCACTGTTTCTCCTTTCTTGAATACTGAAGCAATGTTTTATCCTAAGATATGGACAGTAGAAACTAACTTGATTTAGATAATAATATTTAAACATCATGCTAAGACAGTACTTACGATTAAATATATTACTGTGATGCAAAACAAACCTATCGCTTTAAATTTTCAGGTAAAAATAAGATTGACAAGTAACAAAATATGAAGTCCTTTTTTTCTAATTAGAAAATAAGAATGATTGAGCTACATCATAATTTACCTACTCAAGTCATTGGAATATTGCATTTTTCTTAGTGTGTATTTTTGTATAAATGTGTAGGATTGGATAGTTCTGTTTGTGTATCATGCATATATGTATATATGTACATAAAATTACATTTTACTCAGTTGTAGGAATGCAAAATTGATTTGGAACATCTGGTTTGATAGGTCTTAAGAGTATTAAATTTTGTAATATATATAGTACGAATAGGTGAGTTTTAATTGGCTAAAGTTGGTAGAGAAAGATTATTAGCGATTAGAGTATAAATAAAAGGCATATCAGGCTTTTTTTTTTTTTTTTTTGAGACAGAGCTTCAAGCTGTCCCCCTGGGCAGAATACTGTGGCATCATAGCTCACAACAACCTCCAACTCCTGGGCTCAAGTGAGTCTCCTGCCTCCGCCTCCCAAGTAGCTGGGACCACAGGTGCCCACCCCAGTGCCTGGCTATTTTTTGGTTGCAGCTGTCATTGTTGTTTGGGGGGCCCTGGCTGGATTTGAACCCGCCACCTTAGGCTGCGCCTTAGTCACTTGAGCCACAGGTGCCGAGCCAGCAAATCAGGCTTTATCAGAAGTCCAGGAAAGATAACAACACAAAAATAAATAGCTAGCCCTCATAATAACCCTTTAAATGCTGAATGTTATTTAATATACAACATAGACGTTGTTAGTATGAAAATAATAGAAATTTTATGGTTGTATTATAAAATGTTATTAATGTGGTTCTTTTTAAAATTTTTAACAGGATTAGGAAAAATTTTAGGGAATTCATTTGATGAAGTAAATAGCTGTAAAGAATACTTTGGAAAGTCAGTACCAAATATCCTGGAAGATAAAGTGCGTAAAGCAATTGCAGATACTTCTGAAGAAGATAGTTTTTCACTGTGTTTTAAATATAAAACAAGAAATCTCAGGAAAGTAAGAAAAGACAATACTAGGAAAAAAGTTTTCCATGAAACAAAAACTGGTGAATATGAAGAAGCTAAAAAACAAATAAAAGAAAAACACTCAATTATATCTGAAATGGAACCAAATGATAGTGATCTGTTAGATTCAAATGAAGCAAAGCAGAAGCCCTTTGGGAATGAAAGTGACAAAATCTCCAAGGAAATTGTAGAGTCTTGTGCCAGTGAATGGTCTCATCTAACCCTTTCAGGTCTAAGTGGAACCCAGATGGAGAAAATATCCCCACTACATATTTCTTGTAACCAAAATAATTCAGAAAAAGACTTAGTAGATACGGAGAAAGAATGTACCGATTTTATTACTTCAGAAAATTCTTTGCCATGTATTTCTAATATACCAAAACCAGAGAAGATATTAAATGAGAAAACAGTAGTAAATAAGGGAGGTGAACCACAGCATCTTGAGTCTTATGAAGACTCCATTCTTGCAGTAAAGCCAGCAATATCTGGAATTCCTCGAACAGCTTCTCTATTTCAGGATATCAATAAACCTATATTCAAGATAAGAGAATCATCTGAAGAGACTTCCAGTGCAGTTTTCATGGGTAGCATGACTGATCCAAATGTTAAAGAAGAAACTGAAACCTCTGAGAGTAACCTGGAAATATACACTATTTGTTCACAGAAAGAGGATTCTTTATGTCCAAGTTCAATTGATGATGAAAGCAGGTTAGCCACTATCGCACATACTTCTGTACCTTTGAAGAATACAGGCTTAATATCCACTTTGAAAAAGAAAACCAAAAAATTTATTTATGCTATAAATGATGAAACATCATATCAAGGAAAAAAAATACAGAAAGACCAAAAATCAGAAATAACTAACTGTTCAGCTCAGTTTGAATCAAATGTTTTTCAAGCACCACTTTCTTTTACGAATGACAATTCAGGTACCCCCCCTCCTTTTTTATTTTGCAAATAGTGTATGTAGTTGTATGGATGGTGATTTTGAACAATATCTGTATGTGTTAATGTTTAGGCATTTCACTTAAACCTGTTGCTTTCAAACCTATCATTTGCACTGTATATTTATAGATCACTCTTGAGACAGCTTTTGATTCATAAACATTAAGGGCTTGTTTACTTAAGTCCTGCTTTAATTTTAAAAGTGTATTATATGCAAATTTTACAACTCTGTAAAGATATGTTGCTATTTTCTATGTTCTTTCTCTAAAGCATATAAAAGAAAAAAACTAGTTGCTGGCTAAACCTAATGTAAGCCAGTTCTAAAATAATGATTTTTTTGTTATGTAATTTTCTTAATATTTTAGAGATTGCTTAGAGTTATCTCTCTGTTTCTGTCTCCAAAGTATGCACAATTAGCTTTTTTCGTTTTAGCAACAATTCACCTATCAGGAGATACACTCAGTTTAAAAAGTGATTTATCTCCCTATGAGAAGATTTTAGTGGGAGGTAATGGCTCAGTGAGTAGAGAGTTGGTGGGACTGGAGTATAGAAGTGTTTGAGGTTTGAGTTAAATTTTCAGAGAAAAATGATGCTCTGTATGTCAGAATTAAAGCCAATGAAATAATCTAATACATGTGACCTCTTATTAAAT